AGATTTAGGAAGGGTCCTGAGAAACTGGAAAATGCCATCTGGAAGGAGGTATAAAAAAAATCAGAGACTGAAAAAGAGCTAAAGATCATTGCTGAAGGAACAGATCCAAAAAAAGAGTTCAGGTTTTAATTTAATTAATTCAGATGCATCCTCAAGATGCACTGAAAAACAGTACAATCTAGTTTTATAACTATTTCAGTATAGTACTTAGGTATCTCCCTATGAGAGATGAATGCCAAAGGGCTTTTTCCTTCCTTTTTTTATTCACTACTCATTTGTTTGGGATCCTATTGATTTTTTTCATAGGGGAAATTAGCTGATTATTACTCAATCTATTGGAGAAAATGCATTTGGCTGTAATTAGGCCTCAGACTTGATCACCATATTTAACAATAGGCTCTGTACAAGCAGTCTGCAGTGTAAGAAACTACAATTATTCAATACAGAAATGCTAGGCAGAGCTCAGATTCAGACACATTGATCTACTTGTTGATACAAAATTGTCCGAACAGACACTAAATGCAATCTAATGCTCAAATCATCTCCTCAAACACTCACACCATTAAACATAATAAAGGACATATGAGGGCTACAAAACCAAGAGTGCAAAGCACCTAGTAATTAGTGAATTTCCACAATTAGGCCCAAACCACAATAACAATTATGAAAGGATTTACGAATGATTTAGAGCTGTATCAACTAATAGTTCGACCACAAAGCGCTTTTAAAAATTGTACTTGGCAGTTTGCAGCCTTTCTATAGGAAAATTGACAACGAGCTTTGACAGTGAGGTCCTAAATCTTTTCTAAATGCCTCAGGGTTCAGACACTTCATCTGTAAAGGTAAAAATCGTGCATACTCCCTGTGCTGATGCTTCTTGCTGAGGCTCTCTAGTCCTTCAACTTCAATGATTTCAGATGCACACTGTGCATTTCTAGCATCAACCATTTAATAATAGCTTTTTTTGTCCCTTGCCTGTCCTCTTCTCCTGAATTAAACATCCACAACATCGATATTTAACAAGACGACTTATATTTTGTAGCAAAAGAGATTGCTGGGGATGTGTATTAATTCATGATGCTTACAATTTTTGTGTTTTTTTTTTAATAAAGGGGGATAGTACTGGTCATATATGACACAGTGCATTGCCATTCCAAACCTTGATGGGTAACAGGATGCATAATTTATTTTCAATTTTTAAATATATTTATTTAAAACACAATAACTTGTTAAAAAATTGGCATATGAGGTTCAATTATTTAGGGCTGGAATAGCCCTTTGAAATCTAGCCTTAGTATGACTGTCACAGCAACAGGTCCAAGAGCCACAATTTGCACACCGCTTCCTTCTTGCAATCTGTGCTAACTTCTTTCCGGATATAGTTTTCTTATCAACTTGCACTGGCTTTGGCCAGTCTCTTGGCAGACAGAACCAATATTTATTTCACCCACTCCCTATCCACCACATTAGCAGCTACATAGTCTGGCAATACTGAGGGCACACTCGGGGGAGAGGGAATCTTTTATATTCCTTACTTCCCACTGCATATAGGCAAGATTAAGGCCTCAGTATACAAAGATATCAGATCAGGGTTCAAATCATAGCTCAGGTGATAACATGGTTGACAAGGAGAGGAATCACCTGATCTTCTTTTGCAGAGGACAATGCCAAACCTCCTAGCTGGGCACAACAATCCACTTTTGGTCCAGGCTTACTATAATTCAGGACTGAGATACAAGGTATAAAACTATACAGAAAAGCTTGACTGTCCATATTACACTTGACTCTCCCCCATGTTCATCCCTCTCCTTCATGATGCTCACTGATGTAATTTAATGTAAAGGTGACTTTTTGCAATTTACAGCATCATGCTCTGGGCCAAAAGTTCTGGGTGTAATAAATAATCCGTTGTGTGTAAAGGTCCTGAATCATATACCTCTTGATGCATTTTAATTCTCTTGATTTTAATGGTAGTCAAAGTTACTGATGTAAATGCTACAGAGTAGGACTGTGCAAACCTTTGGCTGCTGATTCGATTCGGAGGAGATTTGGGCTGATTCGATGGCCAAATCTCTGAATCCGAATCGAATCAGGGGACCAATTCAAAGCTCTCCGAACCTTCAGAAAAGATTCGGAGAGCTTTGATGATTTGGGCAGTCCTCAGTGGCTGCAGCAGGGAGCTGCAGCTGACTCCGAGCTCCCAAGTACTAGGGGCAGGGGAAGGAACCATGGGGGGACCCCTGCCAGCTCCCCCGACCCCCCAACAGCTTCCCCAGCTCAGTACTTTAAAAAAAAAAGCTCTGGTGTTCACCAGGTGCTGCCAGGGGGGGAGATCCCCACTGCCCCCCACTACATGGAGTGGCTCTGCCACAAGCCCCCTGACCCCACCTACTCCCTTAGCCCCCCCCACAGGTACTCTGCCCAGGCCAGCTCTGGCCCTTTAAGAAAAACAAACAAACAAGAAAAGCCCTGGGACTCACGGCTCCTGCAGTTGCCTCAGGGCTTCAGGGGCTTGTGTAGAGCCCCTCACATGGCACGGGGCAATGTGGGGCAGTGGGGATCACCCCCTGCCAGCAGGAGCGATGAATGCAGGGTTTTTTTCATTTTTTTTTCTTAAAGGTCAGAGCTGGCCTGGGTGGGGCACCCATGGTGGGGCTGTGGGAGCAAGGGGGAGGTCGGGGGGCTTGTGCAGAGCCCCCCATGCAGCGTGGGGCAGCAGGGATCGCCCCTCGCCCAGCAGCACCCGGTGAGCACTGGGGCTTTTTTTTTTAACAAGTGCTGGGAGCTGGGGCAGGCAGAGCAGCCATTGATAGGCTGGGAGAGGGCGGGGAATGGGCCCAGCTGATTCAGAGACTCGGCAGCAGCAGAATCTCCAAATCAGATTTGGCTGAATGGAATCAGGACAGTGATTCAAATCACCAAATCGAATCTCTGTCCCAAATCGGCAGAATTCGAAGTAAATAGTACCTGCTTCGCACATGCTTACTACAGAGTTTCATCAGTGACTTACACTTTGGACTGCTGTGTCAGGTGCAAAGTTAGTGGCCCAGGCACAAGTGATGGTGAGGCTGACTGAAGTGATAGAGTTTGTTTTCAGTGTGGGGGAAAAGTGAAGGGGAATGCATGTCTCTTCTCAAATGCTGACATAATACCTTCCTGATATTAAAAAACTTTGGTTTTGTTTTTTCAAACTGTCAAGACAGTATTTTTTCCAAGTGCTTCAAAACACTATTATTTTGTTCCTTGTCTTACACTCCTGTGGTGTGGCACAGATACCAAATGCATGTCAGACAAAAGGTACACTTCAAACTTTTGATTTTGACATCTGCCATTCTGAACATTTTGCAGCATCTTCCTTCAAGTGTTTGGCCCACTTGAGCATTGGCCTACCAAGTGATAAAGCATGAAGGGATCAAACAAAATGCTTACATTTCCCTGCATGGAGATTGTATTTAGAAGGATACATTGCAATACTGATCACACAGGGAATTTATTTCAGCAGGCCAGGACTTAAAATGAATGTTGCCTTTTTTGAGAAATGTATCTGCAAAAGTATAGGTAAGGTAACTCCCAGGAACTAGACATGTCTGACTAGAATCTAAGCACTGTCACAAAGTCCCCGAAACAGTCCATGGGTAGGAAAAATATACATAGGGGACTGTGGATGTCACAAAGTAGTTCTACATTGTTCAGGTAAGCCAGGACATCCCATGCCAATTCTGTGAAGCAACCCCACTTAGACCTTCCAGGGGAACTATACAGTACATGTGGATTTGGCTTCTGGCAACTGCCCCAGAACTCCCGCATGTGGCAAACGAGGGGACTTTCCATAGCACAGAAAGGATGCATACAAAAGCTAATTCAGTTAAGCATTAGACTCAGTTCCCATGACATTTTACAGTATCATCCTTTCCAAGTGGTAGGAGTTCACTGTGCTCCTGGCTATTGGCCTCACCTGTCCTACGTCCTCAGCCAACCACAGGGAGTCTAGAGATCCAGCAGGATAATTCTGCAGAGGCAGCACTCCTCATTTTCACACCTCCTGGCCAGTGACCCACAGAGCTGTCATCCCGTCTGCCCAACCATGCCATGTGTGACAATCTGAGACCCAGAAGTGTACCAACAGCATGTTTCCTACTGCATTGTGGAAGAGGCTCCAGAGAGCAGTTGGGAGAACCAAAGCTCATTGAATTAGGTTTGAGTGTGCTTCAAGTATAACAAGAGTCCTTCAGTGAAGGATCCAGTGGTCCACAAACCTGGACATAAGTGAGAGCACTGGCCTCCAACTACTACTGCCCACCACTTTGCAGTAGAATCTGCACAACAGTTATGCAGCTATACAGGTTAAGAGATACTGAATGTGTATCTCAACCCCATAAGGATATGGGTGAGAACACTGCTTCCTTGGGCTTTCACCTTTGGATATGCCTTTCACTTTTCCAATACTTTAAATAAAAGAAAACTTAAAGCACTGGGTCAAACTCCCAGCTGATACAAATCAGGATAGCTCTATTGATATAAAGGGGAAACAAAACTGAAGATCTGTATTCTCCAGTCATATTGTTTGACTTCTGGCCTATCCACAGAGCCTGAATTGTTTGTTCTGTATGTAAGGGAAGCTACCCAAAGATTTCCAAATTGCCTGCCCAGACAAATAGGAGTGGGGGGGAATAAAATATATTTTAGATGTTTATGAAAATGACAAATATTATAGAAGGCAAGGTGAGAAATCCTGAGACTAGGATACTATTGAGTCATTTAGAACTTAAAACTTAATGAGAAGTGGGCATTTCTCTGGCTCTTCTACAAAAACAAGACATTATTAATTGCTCAGAAGATGTATTTCCATTTCACTAACAGCATTATTTCATTTCTAAGTGGAAAACTACAAGCAAGGCAGTTTTGCCCTCTCCCACACTCTTTCACTTCCCATCTGTTCAAATGTCCCCTATAACTCTCTCCTTTATCCAACATACACAATAATATGCGTCTCTACTTACTTGGGACTACAAGCAACCTTGGTGGTGGTGGAGGTGGTGGAGGGGGTGGTAAAGGAGGAGGTGGTCTACACTGGCAAATTTGTTGACAACTCTCCGTAACTTTCTCTGCTACAGCTTTGGAACATGACTTCTGGGGTTCACCCTGAGTGATCTGTAATAAAAAAAATATGAGTTATTTACTGGTAACCTGCCTCAAGCTAAAGAGAGCTAATAAACATTACAAGCTGTTTAGATTCCTTTCCTTAAGGACTGATGTGAGGACCAGATTAGGTCTCCGTCCTGTTCTGCCAAATTACCTTTTCCATTTGTTTACAGTCTATTTTTGTCAAACTTTGCTCTTTGCCCTAATAAGAAAGAACAAAGAGGGCCCAAATTTTGCTCATCTGAGGACTGCATACACCACACACATTCCAGTCTGGACTATATACTCCATGCTATGCCATTAATCTCTCTGATTATATATATAATGTTAACAATAAAGGTAATTATGGGGAATTACAGAACCCTGGAGGCATCATTTGGCGCACAGACTATATTTTTGTCATCCCTTGTATACAACACTTAACAGCTCAGTAGTCACAACAAGTAACTTTTACAGTATGTTTCTAGCCAAATATTTGTAATATTAACATATTTATCAACCTAGAGAATATTGGAGGATCATAACACAACAAACCTGACACAAAATAAAATTAAAGAAGAAAAGTTAACCTTATAAAAATGAATTTTTACAAAGGTCTCAATAGCTTCTAATGGGTACTCAGGTCCATGGGTCTCTAAACAGGCTCCTTCTGAATCAGATTTCAAATGCCAAATCCTATTTTAAAGAAGTGATACTATAAATTAATAACTACAATATCCAAACTTGTATTTTAGCTATGGTTTAGGATGGCATCATAGCATAGCTTTATGCTGAGATGAAGTCACTGGGGCTTAACTATGTGCTGAAGTGCTGTCTTGAATAAGGGTACTGTATTGATCAAGACCCTCAGAAGAGACACAATGAAAATAGCATTAGCAAAGGTCTATCCAGTAATTTTTTACTATCTTCCCTTTAACTGCTGGAAAATATGTTGATCCTTGCATCCCCTTCTTTTACAGATGTTACACAGCTTTATATTCACCTATTTATGATCAAATATTATATTACAGTGCCAACTAAAACCAGCACACAGGTAACTCCTCATATGCATGGTATGCCTAAATACAGAAAGATATAGTATACTTCTTTGACTATTTAGAGATAATATTTTGTAGTCGAAACAGAAAGAAAAAAAGAAAGAAAAGGGGATAAGAAAAAGCTATGATTAGCTGAGCTGGAAGAAAAGCTCTAAACAGCACATATCAGAAGGTCCAGTACTTTGAACTGCTTGTCACATTCCAGATATAGGAAAAATCAAATTTAATCACATATACTTTCCAACTTTTTAACAGAAGTTAAAAAAACACTTGACTAGTATGGTTTAGTCAGGAATGATCCTGCCTTGAGCAAGGGGTGGATTAGATGACCCATGAGGTCCTATTTTCCTGTGAACCTATGAACTTTCTCCTTTACAATTAGGTAACAATAAGGAGATAGTTATAGACCATGGCAAAAAGTTTCCAAGAACTACATGGACTCTTTGAACTCTAATGACTCAGCTTTATAATCTTCCACAGATGGTGATAAATCTGTCTGCTAAGTAGGTTTCTTTTTCTGTAAAATACATTCTTAGAGTTCACAAGCTGAAGAAGAACTTCTACTCTTAAACTGTTTATATATAGTAGTGTGTTAATGACAGTTTCATGGACCCAATAGATAAGACACTACTTCCTACAATACCCAACCCATTGATCTTAAAGCTTTCCTGGCTTTGGTCAGTAGTGGTGACATTTATACTTATCAGGGAGGATATAGGATGGTAGATTATTGCTTTGTAGACAACCAAGGAGGAACTGTCAGTCCACATCCCTTGACATGATATCCACTTTTGTAAATGCTTCAGGTTACTAAAATTACATGGGAGCTAAGAAAAATGGAGGTGATTGATCATGAGATGGAATAACACTACATAGATTTGGGAGTCAACTTTTTATCTGTAGAATAGAAGGAGCTTGGTGTATGCATGTGATGATACTGATGGTATGGGAAAGCTAGACTGACTTATTGTTCTACCTTAATATCAGCCAAGGCCAAAAGGTTTGTTCTGTCCCTTTTTTTAGAACTATTGACCGGCTTTTAAATCCCCAGAGACTCTCTTGCCATGGGCTCGTAATAGCAAATCATGGGATATTTTTCTCAATTTTGCCAAAAGATTAACCTTATATATCTCCAGCCATATCCCAGACTTGCATCCTATTTCTGTATCTAAAGGGACTACTTTGGGGGGGGGGGTTTATGCTTAGTCTACCCAGTAGCTAAGATTAATAGCTCCAGCTGATTTATTCTTAGAAAATGATTGAAATGTAAAAGGGTGGGCTTAATCTCTTATTTGTTTTATTCACTATTTTGTCACTCAGTAAAAAGTATTCAGAAATGTAAAGTGATTTCTGTGTTCTCTACATTGCTCCACTGAGCATCTTTCAGTAACACGGCTTGCTGTTGGTCATACCCATTACCAAATTCCCCTCCCCATGTTCTCCTAACATGTAAATTTAAAAGAACTGAAGATGTACATTTAGATGAAGGAGAACTGAATTTGACATGAAAGATGAAGCTCTCCAAGATGGAGAAGCACTCTTCAGCATTTTCATAAGTGGATTAAGTAGGAGTAATGAAACAGAATTAAGAAAAGGAATGCAACCAATTTGGGCTCATTCTCAAGAAAAACTTTCTACTGGTGATGTCTGTTAGCTTTCCAGTAAAAGGAATAGAAGGTCATTACTTAAGTCTTTTAAATGTAAACAGAACAAATCACAAAAAAACATACTGTGGAACAACCCAGCTCTAGCAGAGGATGATGAAATAAATGACCTAACATTGCTTTTCTAATGTTTATAATTCAACGTAAGGTGCCTTTATAATGGATAGTAGAAGTAAACAGCATATTGAAAAAACCTGGCCTTTCTATGAAAGATTCCACTACTAACACATAGGTCTCACACTTGAGCATTTGTTCTTTTTGTTAAATGCTAGTTACATAAAGACTTCAGAAGCATTTCAGAGATGATGCAGCATCAGTTACTGATTTGGCTTCCCTTCAGTTTACTCTTCACTGGCGTCATTAGGGATCTCTGGATATCAAGCAAGTAGGGTTTGCTCTCTACATTGCTCCACTGAGCAGCCAGCTTTCAGTTACATTTCCTACTGTTGGTCATGCCCAGGCACTTCTATTTCATTTACCTATCTAAAATATAGTTCTTTTGTTTCAACCTAGAATTCTCAATATTCTTAGCAACATATCAGCTTGCAAACTCTGCCTGTCAGAGTTTAAGGCAAGGCAAACTATTAGTAGTAAAGACTGTTCCTCTGTTTTTAGTCTACCAACAAACAATATATGGTTCTAACAATTTATGTAAACATGTTTTACATAAAGGGCAGACATTTCTTAATAGTCTGGTAAATGAAAAGCTGCTTTCACAAATATAAATGGAAAAGCAAACAAAAAGTGCTGTGAACTTGTCTGAACAGAACTGGAAAGCTAGCCATATAAAGTTCCCATTTGGGAGATAATTTCTTTTTAATCAGGGTTTTTCAAGAGAAACTGAGATTCCTTTCTATGCTGCACAGCATGCGGAAGCAAGGCTACACTTGTAAAAAGCCTCACTGACTTCAGTAGGGATCCATGCAATCAGAGCAGTCCAGGGGTACATTACAACATGCAGACTGGGCTCCATATCTGGGAACAGAGGATTACAGCACAAACTCTAGCTGCTGGTCTCCAAGGGAAAGTCTGGATCCAGTAGAAGGATAGTAATTGAAAAAGAAAAGTTTTCTGCTGATTGATGGATATTTGAGAACTCTGACTGCCTGGTGATATAACAATAACCTTCTTCATGACAGTTGTCTAGTAATGATTTATGCTATGTGGATCATTAAAAAAGTATTAAAAAACTGCCCCATCCTGAGGCAGGATGCATCCCCAATCTCAGGGAGGGCACATATCCCCCCCCACCCGCCCCCGGGCTCCTCCTACCAGTCGCCTGTGTCAGGGAGGGTGTTCTATGCATACAGGGCAGGATGGAAGCAAGAGTGAAAGTAATTGTGGGAAAGGAGATAGTTTTCACTGATGGAGCAAAGTGGGTAAAGAGCAGCACTGTGAGACAACAATGGGTAAGAAGGGAGAGGTAGAGCTATGAAATGCACCTTGAAGATGAAGACAAGGAGCCTGAACTTCATGTTATGGAAAAAGGGATGTTATGGAAGGAGGGAAGACATTCAAAGACAAGGGCAACCCCAGGACAGCAGATCAGCTACACTGTGTCTGGAAGGCCAGAAAGGAGGAGGATACTGTAAGAATATGGAACAGGATGGGGGCATGGATCAGACTTTTAGCTTTCTGGATTAAATGAAAAAATTAGGTCTGAAAATGATGTTGAGGAAAAAAGCAGGATTTGAATGTGGCCTGTATGCTCTGTGCTGAGACTACTGAGATTTGTTATCTTTGTGGTTACCACTGTCACTTCCCTCAGCTTTGGATAAGCTAAAACAAACTGTATCGTGGAACCCAGGCCTTCTGAGCATGCCAAACTTTGTCTCTCTGAAGATGTTTCTCCAGCTCACTGCAGAACAGGATTATTTTGGACCATGGCTTTGGAGCTCAATTCTATTATATGAGAGTAAACTGGGTTACAGTAAGGTTGAACCTGACCCAAAATCTTGGCCCATTTTCTTTGATGAGGTTGCACCTGGGATGATTTTTCCCTACGAATCCCTAATCTGTGTGGCAAAGAAGCTTGTACTGATACAAGTGCTGGAACTGTGTATGGATATGCAAGGATCCATGGAAGATTAAATAGAAGGAATATGAAAGGTTTATACCCTAGACACTCATGGATATTCTGTGCCTGACCTTTGTCTCAATACGTGCACGTGGCACTTACACTTCTGGTGGTCTAGGGGGATGCAAATAGAAGCTCTAATCTAAGGAGATTTATTGATTGGATTTATAAAAAAAGAAAATACATAAAAAAAGATGCCGCTATGCAAGGGTTGGCAACATATGGCCCGCAGACCGGATCTAGCCTGCAGAGCCACTGGTTCTCCAGCCCTTGGCACTAGAGGGTTTTGCCTATTTTTGCTCCCATGACCACACTGACACCAGGCAGAAAAGAGCTGTGCTTGGGCCAGGCTGCTTCCAGCTGCTCCTGGGCTGATGCTGCTTCTCCCCACCCTCCCAGCTCTGGTCTGATACAGGCCAGGTACTTTTGGTGGCATGTCAGAGAGGAAGGAGCTTTGCTTATGTCCACAGAACCAAGCAGTGGGGAGCTGCAACTGTGCCACTGACACTTTGCCCAGCCTCGTGCTCCCCAGCTGCAGGACAGGTGTAGCTTCTAGCCAATGAGGAGCTGAGCCAGGGCCGGGCATCTGTGCCCATGCTGCCACTGCTTCTCCCCAGAGCTGCAGCATGGGCGCAGCTTCCAACCCGTAGGGAGCTACACTCGGGCTGGGTGGCAGCACAGACACAGTTTGCAGCTCCCCACCAGTTGGAAAGCTGAGGAGCAGGGGACTGGGAGAAGGGTAGTGGTGCAGGCACAGCTCGCAACTACCCTGCTCCAGTACAGGTACAAGGAAAGCCCCCTGCTGCTGATGTACCACCAAATGCCCAGGTTGGATTGGAGCCGGGTTGTTCTGACTCGCAACGTAAAATGTTGCTGGCCCCTGCAATTATGCATTAAATCAAGCCAAGAGAATTTCTAAGCCACTGAGGGGAAGGCTGAGCAAACCAGTTTTGCCTTTGTATAGCTCATTTCAATTATTCTTGATTTAATTCTTTCATTTTCAAGAAAAGAAAAATCACCTGAGCAGTTTATGCACAATCAGCGATTACCAGATTTAATTATTAAATGAAAGAAAGAGCTGTTTTCAAAATGTCTCTTTCTTGACGTGATTACCTTTTCCTTAAACTGGCACATTCCAGAAGTTAGTTTAAGCACCTGAATTTTAGAGCAGGGCAGTCAACAGAATGAACGGGAGAGTTGGTGGCTTTCTTGGTTTTGATTTGTGTGTGCTTCTGTTTCGTTTTGTAGTTGGGGAGTTCCAAATTTTATAATCCTGGACAAAATGTTAAACAAACAAACAATCCTAGGTTAATCTTTTGGAATGTACAAAATTTAGAACAGAGAATAAAGGGAAATACCACTCTGTTTTCTTCCAGAAAGAAACTGTAATTGTTCAGTACCAAAACAGAACTAGCCCATCAATCACTCCTTTGAAGACAGATAAGATGAATAGAGTGTAAAATATCAAAATGATGCATTTTGGGTCAGCTTTCCTGCTGTTTTGGTTGTTTCAGCTGGATAACCACTATCCCTTCTAGCCTGGTATTCGCTCTCAGTCCATCTGCATGAGGGTTACTGGTCATCCTGTATTATAATCAAGGTCACAGCACATAACAGTCAGAGTTGGAGAATGGACAAAGCTGAATCAGCTTTTACCCAGCAAATTCTCATTACATAGTCAACGTCAGACACCATGCCCAAACATTACCAGAATTAGATTTCAGAGCTTCTCCTAACGGGATTCTTCCTCTGTTCATATTGCCATCCACAGTAATTACTCTTCCAATTGTCTCACTGTCAATGTGTTACAGAAGCTCAACAACATCTCACTCAGAAAGACCAAGTCTCATTCCTCGAGCACAAGACTCAGCAGGGTACTGATCTTTTAAACACTCTATGGAAGCTTTCATCCAGTGATCAGAAATAAGTGGAAATACATGTCAGGAAGCAACAGCTATGGATACAGTGCTATTCTTTAATGTTCTTTGGAGGGCTATCAGTTTTGAAAGTCACCAATTTGCAAACATTAAATTCTGAATAATTCTCCCTGTGTAAATATCAATACCACAAGCACTCCCCACCCCCCATCATATACGCCAGATAAAATCCTAGCCCCACTGAAATCAATGGGAGTTTTTCTACTGATTTCAGTAAGGTCATGATTCCACCCCTCACATATAATACATCCACGTGCATCTAAGCTCCTGTGCTCTATCTAAAAACACATATAGATTACTTATTGCAAACGCATCCACGCTGTGGCAGACGGCGATGGAGACAAGACGTGCCCCCCGATGAGATTACAGTCACTGCCAGCACTGAATAACGGCCCTGTCATTTAGCATTTATATATAGCGCCCTAGGACTGCGTGTGTGCATGCTGTGGAAA